CATATGAAAAATCTTTAAAAAATGGACGGCGTAGATAATATGTTGTAAAATGCACTATTTTTGTAGACTTAAAATTCTTTTTATTTTTCAGGGTCATACATCTCGATGCGGAGATGATCAATCAAAAGGGTTTTTCAACATTAAAACTACCTTTTCCAATGAATTTTTGAGGTACCTACGTAGTTCTACATTATAAGGTTGCATCCTTATATAAACTTTTTTCTTATTTAAAATAGATCCCAGAATTTTTTATTTAAAAAATATACTAGGACGTCAACCTTTCTCAAGAAAAATTACCTTCAAGGTTTTTCTACACAAGCGAGTAAACGCACAGTGTGGTCTCGTTGGCAAACTATCTCGTTGAATAGAGAGAGAGGATATGCTAGAGAGACAGTGAGAGGATAGACTAGAGAGAGAGGAAGCAACAAAGTTCACATCGTTTCTCTAGACGGTACCAAGATAAAAGTAAGGGTGTGGTTTCTATAAGGTTGCAACCTTAAACAACAATCCAATTAAGGCGCACTTCCAAATTTAATTATAACATATAATTTTGGTGGTAAAAATACTTAGGATTATCTCAAAATCTATTTTCATATCTAATTATAAAATTTTAAACCCCAAAAAAGGGTAAAATCTAAGTAGATTTATAAACATGTGAAGATCTTTGAAAATAAACGATTTAGATAATGTGTGTGCAAGATGCACTATTTATAAGACTCGAAATCTTTTTCTTTTTTGTATTAGAGGGTTTTTCAACATTAAAACAACCTTTTCCAATGGATTTTCAAAGTGCACATGAAATTCTACATTTTAAGGTTCACAACTTGTTCTAAAAGTAAAACCCATAGGATATTCTAGAGAGAGAGAGAGAGAGAGCAACAAAATTCAGAACAGTCGTAAACAATATCATAAAAGTAAAGGATAAGAGAAATGGGGTTAAGCTGAAGAGGCATACAGTGAATGAATTGGAGGAGTTGCGAGAGCTGAGCTTCAGATGTAGGCTTGTAACCAGAGCGAAGCCGACTCGCGAGAAGCAACCTGGTGAGCTTCCTCACCAACAAATCAGGCACTATGTTCCTCTCCAGAGCCCCCAACACTGTTCGCACCGTCGCTTCGTAAGGAACCTGAACCAGAACATCGATCATTTCTTCTCCTCTCCTTCTCTCCCTCTACCTCTATCTCTCTAAAGCCAGCGATGTGGTTCTGTATCCCTCCCCCTCTCTCTCTAAAGCCAGAGATGTGGGTCAGTGTCCCTCTCTTTTTCTCTCTAACCCGACACAGACAGGGTGTCTCGTTAATACAACAATGGCCCAACAACGCCCCTCGATTCCCCCAAATAAATAATCCTATGGCTCTAGAGCAATCCAAAACGATGCAAAGATTTGCCGAATTAGGTGCTTAACAAATCCGACAACTCCAAATCTGTCAACATAGGAGAAAAAAAAGCTAAATGACGTAAGTGAGGTTTGAATAAGGTGCCCACTAAGGGTGGCAACGGGGCTGGCCCTTGTGCTCATGGAGCCGGCTCCTGCCCGACCTGGCCCTACTAGGCCGGGCCAATAACAACGGAAGGAAAATTAAAAGAAAAAGTAAGAAAGAAAAAAAACCAGGACACGCCAAACTGGGTCGCCACTGACCCTAGCCCAGCCCTAGGGCCACAATTTGTGATCGAGGCCCCACTTTTTTAGAGCTTAGCCTCTTAAGCAACGCCAACCTTCCGACCCATTGTTTGCCCTAGTCCCACCTTCTACTATACAAGCAAGGCACACCTCTAAATTTTAACGGAAAAAATATAATTCCAATATCAAAAACCTCATGATGGCTTGATAATTCACGTTCAACTCTAATTATAAAATTTTATATTCTAAAAATAAACCTCATGTTGGCTTGATAATTCGGGCTCATCCTTAATTATAAAATTTTATATTCTGAAAAATATATTATTTTCAAAGCACATCTCTATAAATATACTAAGATAACGTTTGGTTCGTATTGAAAATAGTAAATTTTTAGAGCATATATCTGAAAATAATATATCTTGAAAAAATTTATATCGTTTTGAAATATTGAGCACATTTGAAAATAATATATTTTGAAAAAACATTATATTGTTTTGAAAGATTAAGCACATCTCTAAACATATATTATTTTCAAATACTATATAATTTTTTAAACTAAAATACTAAGATAATGTTTGGTTCGTGCTTAAATATTTAGCAAAGCATTTACATATGTGTAAACATTTTGCAGAAAAATATTTATATATGGATTCTTTTTATAGTGTTTGGTAGCACATTTAAAAAGCATCGTGTAATCAACTTCATATGTTTGGTAGATCTTGGTTGGTGTCAAACTATTTACACAAAACATTGAATAGATACTAATATTATATATTGGAAAACTCTTTACAACGTCTATAGGCGAAAATGAACAGTGATTTCGCCTACCTTCATTATCATCCAAACTTCTTCGCATGGTTATAGTTGTCCAGTAGTATTTCAATTTTCATGGTTTTTCTACAAATCCAAATTACTTGAAATTTGGAGCGTGTGTACATCTTAGTTAGGTGCAGCTAATAAAAATATGAAAAAATAATTTGTAAAACATAAATTGATCAAAATACCCTCAAAACGTTACTGGGGTATTTTGGTCAATTTATATTTTATGAATTATTTTTTTCATATATTTTATTAGGTGCGTCTCACTAAGATGTACACACGCTTCAAATTTCAGATCATTCCAATTATTAAAAGAAAAATGAAAATTAAAACACTACCGGACAACTATGACCGTACGATGAAGTTTTGATAGTGATGAGGGTAGGCGAAATCACTATTTATTTTCTCCTATAGACGTTTTGTAATGTCTTCCTTATATATAATATATACAATATATAATGGGAAAAGTTTATATAGAGCCGAGCCTCAAAACAATCAAATTCGAGCCTATCTCAAAAACTTCACTAGAATAGGTTGTTTTGATGCCCAAATATCCTCAAATTGATCATCTCGACATCAAGATGCATAGACATGAAAAAATAAATAAATTTCAAGTTTTGAAAATAGTGTATTTTGTAATGCATTTTTAGACCATTAATTTTCAATATTTTCAAGTTTTCATAGATCTACCGATCTACACTGTTTTTGAAGTTTTAAACTTTATAAATAAAGATGAAAATATATTGTAAGGCTATCACAAAGCTTTTCGATATTGAAACCACATTTCTTGACACTATTTGAAGGTAGGCTCTAATTTAATTGTTTAGAGCCTAGGCTCTATACCAACTGCACCCATATATATAATATATAACATAATATAAATATATACAAATATTATATATATTATTATATTAATATTTTACATATATATATATATATATATAATATATTTATATATATCTTGACGGTAAAGTATATAAGATTTATTATTACATTATATCTATATGAGTACACACTCATGTGTGTAGAACCCCAAATGATCACCATTAAATATGACATAGATCCTTAGAAAATTTTCACATGGGTGTGAGGCTTGACTTTTATAGAGATCTGTGCCAAATTTAATGGAAATCCTTTAAGATCCTACACACATGGATGTGGGATGGTCTCATAGGATCATTACTCTATATATATATATATATATATATATATTATAATAATTTATGAATTATAATATTACTTATTATGTATTATTTTATAAAGGGTGTAGTTTGTATAGAGTCAAGGCTCTCAACAATCAAAGTAAAGCCCACCTTCAAATAGTGTCGAGAAATGTGATTTTAAAGCTTCAAAAATAGTGTAGATCGAGCATATCTGTGAAAATCTTGAAAATTGACGGTCCAAAAATGCGTTACAAGATGCATTATTTTCAAAATTTGAAATCCACTATTTTTCTCATGTCCATGTATCTTGATATCTAGATAATCAATTTGAGGATATTTGGGCATCAAGACAACCTCTTCTAGTGAAAATTTTAAGGTGGGCTCTAATTTGATTGTTTAGAGCCTCGGCTCTATATAAACTTTTTTTTTATAAATAGTAATATATAATATCATATATTATATTACTTTAATACATATTATATAATGTATTAAATTATGAATAGTGAATAGTGGGTCTGCTTATGAAAACAAATGCACATAGAATGTTTCCCACCTCAATAGGTGTGATTTTATTTTATCATGAATTAGACTATTTTATGGTAAAAGTTTTTACATTAGTATTTTATTTGCATATTCATTTGTACGAACCAAACATATCAAACATGATTTACATATGTAAATATTTCGTGGGGAATATTTACATACCTTAACTTTTTTTATCTAAGCATTGGCTTTTATCCTCTCTATATATATATTTTTGACAATATTATTATGCTCTGTACTCTCTCTACACTGTTTTTAGTTTAAAACAGGGAAGAAGTAATATAGAGACGAGGCTCTAAACAATCAAATTAGAGCTCACCTCAAAAATTTCACTAGAAGAGGTTGTTTTGATGCCCAAATATCCTTAAATTGTTCATCTCAATATGGTGATGCATGGACATGGGAAAAATATAGATTTCAAGTTTTGGAAATAGTACATCTCGTAACACATTTTTGGACCATCAAATTTCAAGATTTTCAAGTTTTCATAGATTCGCTTGTATTGGTTTTGAAGATTTAAATTTAATTAAAGATAAAAAATATATGTTGAGGCCATCACAAAGATTTTCAATATTAGAAACTACATTTTTCCACACTATTTGATCGGAAATGCACTTAACTTTGATTGTTATGTATAAATCGCACCCTGAAAATAAACGCATGGTCTTTCTCACTCTTTTCTGGAGTACTGTGTCACCCTTTCCTGTGGACATGAGCGATGGGCATCTTTTGTCTCCTTCCTTTTGCTTGATTTTGTTTTTCTATTTCTACATCACATATTCAGCTCTTCTGTTGGCGGATTGATACTTTTACCCCCAAAAGTTTACTTTCTTTCACGTGACTCTTTTACTTAAAAACTAGGCGGCGGCACGTGGTCCGCACGTGGCTTTATGATAATAAATTATATAAATAATAATTTTATAATAATTATCTTTATTGGTAATTATTATATATAGTTCCCAATACCTAATATTGTCAATAGTATGCTATATTAACATTAATATCTCATAGTATTCACATAGTTGGTAATTAAAGGTTGCGGTTTGTATAGAGCCGAGGCTCTAAAGTAGAATGCACCTTCAAATAGTATCGAGAAATATAGTTTCAATACTCGAAATCTTTGTGATAGCCTTAAAATATATTTATATTTGTAATTATGAAATTTAAAGCTTAAAGAATAGTGTAGATCGAGTAGATCTATGAAAATCTTAAAATTGACAATAAAAAAATGCATTACGAGATGCACTATTTCCGAAACTTGAAATCGATTTTTTATCATGTTCATGTATTTTAATGTTGAGATGATCAATTAGAGGATATTTGAGCATCAAAACAACTTTTTCTGGTGAAATTTTTTAGATGCACTCTAATTTGATTTTTTGGGGGCATTTTTAATCATTTGAAAGGTAGAATATATATTTTTATAAAGTGACATTCTATTAGTAGTTAAAAACAATTAATGGATATTGTGGGTGATGTGACACACTATATTGGTGATGTCATTGTCTTTGTTAATAAATGTTTTTGTTTTTATTAAGAATTTCTAATGTACTCTTGATTACTTACTTAAAATACCTCTAAGCAAAAAGTTATTATACTATAGGATAATAATATCTAAATGTCTAAAAATGTCGAGCACTTTAAAAGTCTACAAGTCTCAAAAATGTTGAGCACTTTAATGTTATTATTGGTAATTTAGAACATAATAAAATATAGTTAATTAAAATATTAATTACAATTTGAGTACATATATAACGAAATTTATGGTTCTTATCCAATAACTAATTTTTTAGTTATAATCTTTCTTGTAAATTATTATTTTTAGCTCCAAATATAATATTAATATCAAATATGTACTACCAATTTATAGGTTTCATATAAATTTGAGATTTAATATAAAATAATATGAGATATATAGAATAATATAATATGTACAAATATAAAATGAGACTATTTACTTTTGATAGAAAGTACTCATAACAAGAAAGTCCACTATTTAGAAGTATAATTACCAAAACCCATTCCCACTTATTAAGATATATTATCGATCATTTTAGTGATAATTAAATAGATAAACGTCAATTTTGGGGTGGTCAAATTTAGGTGTGAAAGAACACAAATTATGATCGAGAGTGTACATGACGGACACATACTCTACAAGTCTTTTCTTATGCTTATTACATGTATTTCTTTTTTCTCAGGCTTAGAAAATTAGATGTATTAATAGATACTGTAGTAAATGAAAAAAGTGGTAGCAATTTTTTTTGGGCCATTCAGGAATTTTATAGAATTTTATCTCAATACATTTGGTATAAAATGTCTTACATTTCTAATAAATCATCTTCTGTCTTGAATGTTGCAGGAAATTAGGGTTTTCTGGTGAGATACTTGACTTCAAGGATGTTAACAATCGGGGTTCCGTAACCCCAAAACAAAAACAATGGAATTTGTCGACCTCATTTCAGGATTGTCCCCATTTCGATCCATGAAGTTTCTAGACTGAGTTATTTTGAAGAAATTGAGGTTTTCTACTGTTTTTTACCAGAATTTTGCAGATTGAGAGAGAGAGAGAGAGAATACTGAGGAGATTTGGAAAGGGTAGACAGAAGAGGGTTTTCACAGGGTGCAGAGGCAGAGGATGGGCTTTCGAGGGAAAATTTGAAAGGGTCGGAAGAGGATTTTCAGGGGAAGTAGCATTTCCATAAGTGGCAATTTTGAAATTGTTTGTAGAATCAGCGGCATTTTCACAATCATCCAAAACCTAGAAGATGGGAGACTAAGGCCTAGAATCCCATTTCTCTGTGTCCCTCGTCTCTTCAACCTCCATCAGAACGTGAGTCCCCTCTTCTTGTTCTTCCTCCTTTTCCCCTCCTTTCCCATTTCCCCCTTCGTCTGGTTTCAGCTTTTCTCAACTGATTGGGTCTTTATCTTTGTGTTAATTTTGGGCCCAAAGGCCCCATTTTGATTCTCTCTCCATTTTATTTGTTGCCATTACAACCTGCAAGGGTTCTCACCTTCTGTACTCATTTAACATGTGCTTCCAAAACTGTAGCTTTCTGCTTTCAACCCCTCTCTCTCTCTCTCTCTCTAAAACTGTAGCTCTCTCTGTCTCTGAATCTGTAGCTCTCTCTCTCTCTAATCTGGAAGGTTGGTCTGGAAATTATTGGGGTCTTTTCGATGTGTTGAATTCGGCCCCTAGCGTCACAGTGGGGTCCTTGCAAAACCATTGTCATAGGGATCAGAACCTGATTGCACCCACTTACCACCACTCTCTTTAAATAATCAAGCTCTCTCCAATTTTAGCACCGCTCTGTTTTAATTAAGCTCTTTTGAGTTTCCTTGCAGAGAGAAGCCCAAGAAAAAGCAGGAAGGGAAGAGGGAGGAAGGAGAGATAAAAAGAGGGTTAGTGAGAGAAAATAAGCAATTTTGCCATGGCAGCGATCCCCCTCTTCCAAAATTTCCTCTTCACTTCACCCCACAAAAAATCCAACTCCCCAATTTTGTCGATTCAGTCCCGTTCCCTCTCTGTTCGCTGCAATTCCAATGAGGCCCCTGCAACTAAGCAGAGGAGACCAGCGGAAGAGAACATAAGAGAAGAAGCTCGACGCCATGCTACAAGCTTAGGCACTTCTTGCCATGGCTTCTCGGCCAAATATGTGCCCTTCAATGCACCCCCAAGCTCAACTGAAGTGTACTCTCTTGATGAGGTTGTGTATCGAAGTCGATCAGGCTCCCTCCTCGATGTAGAGCACGATCTCTCAGCTTTGAAAAAGTTTGATGCACCCTATTGGAAAAGCCTCTTCGACTCTCGAGTGGGCAAGACCACATGGCCTTATGGCTCAGGTGTGTGGTCAAAGAAAGAATGGGTTCTCCCTGAAATTGATTCAGACCACATAGTCTCCCTCTTTGAAGGTAATTCAAATCTCTTTTGGGCTGAGCGGTTTGGTAAAGAGGTTCTCTCGATGAATGATTTATGGGTAAAACACTGTGGCATAAGCCATACTGGTTCTTTCAAGGACCTTGGTATGACTGTTCTTATTAGCCAAGTGAATAGGCTTCGGAAGCTTAACCGCCCAATCATCGGGGTTGGATGCGCATCAACTGGGGACACTTCTGCTGCCTTATCAGCCTATTGTGCAGCAGCAGGTATCCCTGCAATAGTGTTTTTGCCTGCTGATCGAATAACAATTGCTCAACTCGTTCAACCTATAGCTAATGGTGCCTTTGTTTTGAGTCTTGATACTGATTTTGATGGGTGTATGAGACTTATACGTGAGGTAACAGCTGAGCTCCCTATCTATCTTGCGAATTCTTTAAATAGTCTTAGGCTCGAGGGCCAAAAGACGGCTGCCATTGAAATTCTTCAACAATTTGATTGGGAGGTACCCGATTGGGTCATTGTACCTGGTGGAAACTTGGGCAATATCTATGCCTTTTATAAGGGGTTTCATATGTGTAAGGAACTCGGCTTAGTGGACTCAATCCCACGACTTGTGTGCGCACAAGCTGCAAATGCAAATCCTCTATATCTTTATTACAAGAATGGGTGGGAAAATTTCTCCCCCATTAGGGCCAACACCACATTTGCGTCGGCAATTCAAATTGGTGATCCTGTTTCGATCGATCGAGCTGTTTATGCATTGCAAAATTCAAATGGGATTGTCGAAGAAGCCACTGAGGAGGAGTTAATGGATGCTATGGCAGAGGCTGACCTAACGGGGATGTTCATTTGTCCTCATACTGGTGTGGCTTTGGCTGCTTTGGCTAAGCTTAGGAAGAGTGGGGTGATCAAGCCAACTGATAGGACGGTGGTGGTTAGTACAGCGCATGGATTGAAATTTACACAGGCGAAGACTGAATACCATTCGAAGGAGATTGATGGGATGACTTGTAAGTTCGCCAACCCACCTGTGAATGTGAAGGCAGATTTTGGATCAGTTATGGACGTGCTGAGGAAGAAGCTTGCGCTTGTTTGAGAAGTAGTGCTTCTTATCACGAGAGCTGTAAGTCTAGCATGATGCACTGACCTCTCTCTTTCTCTCTCTCTCTCTCTCTCTATATATATATATATATATATATATATATTTAGGTTCTAAGTCTGAGAGACGAACCTACTTT